GTGTCTAAAAAAACAAAAAGCAACTTGCACAATTTTACTAATTTCTGCCTCTTCTGGCTGTAATATTTCATTAAAAAAAAAAAGTGGTCAAATTCAAATCTCAAATTACATTGACATCTCTCAAGCCCTAATTTCTAATGACTTGAGAGATGTTCTTTTATAGTTAATATGTATGCAGCTTTTATGACCCCATATTAATTGAGACTAAATAAAATATTTGTACTTTTAGAAATTGCATTTTTCATACATAAGGGCCATTCCGAATTAAATAGTGAAGGCAAAGGTGTTTAAAATAGGGAAAGAGTGTACATATGGCAAGACCTAAAGATTCATATCAGTTTTAAGCAACATTATTGATGTTAATTAAAAGTCCTTGGATTATGCCCATTTATTATAGTTTTTTTTTTTTTCAAAATATAGAGAGGCTGCACAATATTTTTTTATACAATATTTTAAACTGGTTTTGCAGTCATAATAGCAGTAAAGAGTAATATTAATGATAGCAAGAATATCACTTTATCTGACCTTTCTTTGAATTTCTGTTTTGAAAACCATAAGAATGAAAATGTGTTTTTAGCAAAACTGTGAACTTCAGATAAAGGCCACTACATGTTTTATTCCTTGGAATAACACTTTGCTTTTATCACATCATGCTTAATTGGACAATGACACTGCATATTTGTCATTGAATGCTCTTCTTTGCACTATCCATCCATTTGCAACCAGAACTTTTGTTGTTCTGCAGGGACATGCTGAGAATGTCTTTGTTTAGCAAGTAATTACGGTAGTTCCTTTCTGGTTTGAGCAGATTAATTAGGTGCTGCATGCTAACAGATTTAAAGTGTGGGGCTCCTCTGTGATGGAGAGCCAAAAGCAGCTCTCATCTCTGCATGGATGATGGGAGGAATATTAGCTTTGTGTTGCGTCTTGGCTCTGTATGCATGCATGTATGTGTGTGAGATGGATCTCCTGGTGTGATTAATGTGCGTTCTCAGAGCAGTAAACCACTTGTAGTAGGGAGGAATATTAGCTTTGTGTTGTGTCTTGGCTCTGTATGCATGCATGCATGTATGTATGTGTGTGAGATTGATCTCCTGGTGTGATTAATGTGCGTTCTCAGAGCAGTAAACCACTTGTAGTGCTCAGTCTTTCCAGTGCCAGTGATTACTTGCTTTTGCAACTTACATTTAATTACAAGGTGACCTCACACTATCCATGCACTCCATTACGGCGTTGCGACGAGCTGCTCTTTGTGTGGGGTGACAGTACTGTAATGTTTAAACTTGAATGCCATGTCCGTTCAACCTCAGTCTGCAGGATGAGTCATTTCCTGTTTAGTCTGTTTATGTACTCTGTTCATATATTTAACTGCCACAAAACTGTCCCCGCACATCCTACGACACCTTCCTACAATAATCCAGAGAGGTTTTTTGATGGATGAGCCTTCTCTTTCTATTAGCAGCCCCGTTTCACACCTTCCATGCTAATATCCCTCTAATTCTCACTGTTTATGAGCTGAAGATCGGTTTTCTCCTGTGTGGCAGGTGTTAGCTTGACCTCTACTTTCTGTGCTTTCTTTACCCTTGTATGCGTTTTCTGCATTGTCATTAGCCTTCATTTGGGATGCTAATATATGTTTATTGGGTTTCTCTTTTGATTAGATGTCAGATATAATTTTTGGAAAGCAAAAGATAACCAAATTAGCTTCAATATCTTGAAACTTTATTGCATAACCTCCCTCCTACTGTGAAGTCAAAGTTTCTTTCAAGGGGCCTTTTCCGTTTTCTCCAGATGTTTGTGTTAGAGCTGGATTCATGTTGAATGTTGTAGAAATAGGCTCACGCAGCTGGGCATAAATAGGCAGTCATGTAATCTTACCACTTTGTATGTGCTCACTTTTAATTTTTAATCAGCCTCCAGTGGATTGAAACCGGATTCTGTTGAAGGAATGGAATTTCACAGGTGATTCCACCTGCTTGTGTCACATTGGCTGATGGAGCTGATTATGGCTATACTCTGATGTCTGCCTTTTCCAGACTGACTGTCCCCATAGAAAAGATTGCCACATGTGCTAGTCAATTATGAGATGCTCGGCGTCCTTCGGGATTCTTAGACTGATCAAAAGAGTGCTCTGGGTTGTTGTGCTCAATTCATCTCGCAGAGCAAGAACGCTTTCCCCATTTACATCATTAACATGGCAATGCTTCATTTAGATTTGACAACCGGTTGCTGTTGTGGACTATCTGTTAAAGCTAATTTATTAGTTAATGTAACAAGAAATGCATGCATTATATAAACGGAAACATCATTCATTAAGCCTGATATCTAAAAATTTCAACTTGACAGTGTTTAAAAACAAAGCACTTGTGGCAAGATGATCGAAAAAAGTCTGGGATGCAACACAACAAAAGTTAGTCTGAAAGATTATGGATGTAGAGGATTTAAAGGGTCATGAAACTAGTGGTCGACTGATGTGTTTTTTGACAGCCGATGCTGATATCTTGGAAAGCAGGGTGGCCGATATAAAGCCGATATAATTTTATTTTAATTCATATTTAAGAAGTTTGAAATCATTTGAAAATGGATTAAAAAATAAGTGTAAAATAAACACTCTACAAGACAAAGTATTTTTCACAAATAAATAAATATTTAATAAAAATAGGGAGTGTGAGCACTGTGTGCTCAGGCGTTGCCGCAGCCGTTCTCGGCGCCGTCAAAATAAAAGTCAGACGTACCATCAAAATAAAAGTCCTGCCTCGAACACATCGGCCAAACAGAAAAACTTATCGGCCAATGCCGATATTTGAAAAATGGCCACGGCCGATATATCGGTTGACCACTACATGAAACCCCAGACTACTTTTTCTGAGATTTTAGCAGAGGTGTTTGTGTTGCACATCATAGAAGACAATGTTAGCATCCGATAATTGTAACTGTTGGAGAAAACTGGTTAATTTTAAAGGGGTCATATGATGCGATTTCAATTTTTCCTTTCTCTTTGGA